TTGTGAACAACTTGGCAGTTCCAGCTCTACCCTGGTTTCAGGTGAATGTTTCCTCATCCCCTAGAAACAGTTACAAGCTGACCTAGTGTTCACCTCGCTGCATCACCCTTCCTTTTATTACAAAGGTGATCTTTTTTAGTCCATTTATTCAACTGTCCAGCTTTAATGGGGATAAACTCCCTGCTGTAAACCCCAGATTATTCCCATCCACCTTACAAATCTATTGCTTTCTATTTATATTAATATTATCATTTCTGACAACACATTATCTTGCACCCTGAAATCCATCCTAAACTTAATGAATATCTCTCTGCTTTCAGGCTGATAGTCTGTCCATCTCTAGTGAGGCTGCTATTGCATGTGACAATAAATCCTTTTGAAAAAGGGATCAAATTGCTTCTCTCTTCATCCATCCTGCACACACTCAATAGTGCTTCTCAGGCTCCTGCCCAGCAGTGTAAGTCACAGTGTTTCCCTTACCACTATCTGGGGACCATTGTATGTGTTGCTCCATGCTGTTGTCAATTGCCAGTTGTCTGCCAGTCTCATCTCTTGCAGGATGTCCAGTTGTTGTTGTACACTCGTGTCAAAATGTGGCCCACAGACTTTGTTTGGATGGAATGACTTTTGGTGCTCAGCAAATGCTGAATATATTGTTGAAAGTTAATTTTGTGTCCCTTCCCACTGACTTGGGTAGACTTTCCAAAGTGCAGTGTTCATTTTGTTGGAAAGTCTCCTTGGCCTGTGATCAGTTATGGCCTCCTCCATGATGTCACTTTCTACCTCATTAGGTTTTATTTCAGTGTAGGCTCACATGCATTTGTGTGAACTCCTTCCTGCAGTGGGCATAGCACAAGCATTTGGACTTGGCTTGCATTATTTTAACTGTGTAATCCAGTTTTCTGTGGGGAATAATACTATTCTGGCAAGAAAACTGAAGAGTTAGTATCTCTCTCTCACTGCTATAAATCATTTAACAAAGGCAATATATTGGAATTATGCCACATTCCTCAGAAGAAGAATGTTTCTCTTTAACTTTCAGTGAAGTCTCATTTGTTGCTCTTCTTGCTCAGACCTAGTCTGTGTTTGCTTCTGCTTGGCTGGGACTTCTCAGAGGACTGGGTCACTACATTCAAAAGTTTACAGATTCTGGATAGAAACAGAGTTTATGCGATACGATAAATATATTTTGCTGATAATGGGCAGAGGGTTACAAAATTGAATTCGTACTTTTTTTCTCCCTTGTCTTTGTTCAAACTTGTGGTTCAGTGCTTCCTTCCTGACACTGTGATACCTCACATTTCCACTGGACAGATATCTTTCTCACCGTTCTGTGTTTCCCACACTATCTCTCCACAGCAGGAGTTCTGCCTAATCTGGACCCTCTCCAGTACATGAGGTATTACCCTAGGGAGAAAACCCAACCTCCTGGTCTAGGGCCCACAACAAGGGCTGACTGAAGCCAAGGAAGCTACAACACATCCACAGACTCTTTTGTACCCTGTCTCTGAGGTTTGTGTGCACTTGGCAATGTGCTGCTGCCTGGACCAGATTGACAGGAAAGTTTTTGCTGAATATCCACTTAAGAAAGAGGATAGTCCAAGGCTGCTTGTGCACATCTCACTTTACTGCAGCTGGCCCCTTTCATTCAGACATCTGCTGTGCCGATAGAAAAGGTGCCATGTTCAGAATGGCGTTGCCTTGAAGACCAGCCACACAGGAATCAGGCAAATCATCAATTTAGAGTCTATCCCCTTTTCCCATTCCTGTGTATTCCTTCTGCATGACCACAGAAGCAGGCAATTAATGGGGCAAGAGGGTAAATCATGCTTCTACTGAGTCCCACAAAGGTCATGTGATTCTATAGGGCCGTTTTTAATTCTCACTACTTCCCTGCCTCTGGCATCTCTGTGGCTGTAATGATATTGGGTGTGGTGCAAGACTGTGTGAGAAGACAGGTTTCTGCTCAAATGCCTTTCTGAGTATTTTCTGTTCTTATGGCAAAACGGATGTTGGAGAGACTTGCTGTAGGACCTGCCTTGAAAGTCTTACCTCTGAGATGCCAGGCTCTGCTTGGTGTTAAGTGAAATTGTCTGCAGCTCATTAACATCAAAGCATTTTCTCCACTGGTCTGGACAGTTTAGTAGTAACCAGCAGTCGGACCAGAGAGCAGCTACGCTCTCCACTAAGCATTGCCTGCAAACAATTAACATCAAAGGGGAGCCACTGTGAAACAGGAGGAAAACAATGTTACAAATGTAGCGAGTCTCATGGCTCATGGAAATGGGGGGAGGCCAAAGCTGTGTCCCAGATAGACAGCTTGTGCTGAGATGTTTGCAGGAGCAAGTACAGGAATGGCTGCTGGGACCTGCTGATGGTCCTGGCCAGGAAAGTGGTGGAACCACTTTGGTTTGAATAAACCTGCCTGATTTGGTGTTGGTGGCAGCATGGTGCAAGCTCTGGTTTATCAAACTTTGTCCAGCCTAATTCTAGGATCAAGTCAGATCTGCCCATTGACTTGGTAGTTCCGTGATTACTTCAGCTGTCACTCTTGATGAGACTCTTGAGGCCAATCTCACTGTTCTTTATACTCTTTTTCTCCATCTCCCTGAACACAAGTTTTAAATTGTGATTCTAGATGCTGCTGCTCTTTTATAAAGTGGATCTTGGCCCTTTGTTTGCTCCTCCCCACAGGAGGTCTGTGGTATTAAACCATTTTTTAGATTACAGGATTGTTGCCTTTCTCTAGCTCTCAAACAGGTTTTCCTTATTTATGTACTAGATCTTTTGGTTCATGCTTTCCTCATCCTCTTCCTCCCTGCTTTGGTGGTAGGTAAATCCAAACAGTTGTTATTCATCATGGTATCAGTCTGTGATTAGCCCTGGGGAGGGCAACACATTATGGAAAATTAATTAATTTTTATATGGGTCCCAGTCAGGAATTAGAAGCTTTATGGTAGGTTCAACACCAGTGGAGGGTAGAACCATGGGGCTGTCTCGAAGAGTTTGCTATCTAAACATCAGTCTATGAACAGAAGATTGTGAAAAACCCCAAACTGGAACTGTCTAATAATTAGTGCTGGGAGTCCACCCACTGTTCTAGCTGCCATGCAGACTGCAGGCAGAAGTTAGCTGCTGGAGTTTAGACCACTCAGGTTGCAATCCCTTTGCTTTGATTATCTACCTCTCGGGAAATACATACTTCTGTGATTAGTAGAGTGCCTAGCAGACTTAAGAACTCTGACTTTAGTGAGAGACATGTGTGGACTTTGAGTTGAATGGAGATTCCCCACTATTGGATATGAAGACATGTAGACCCATTGAATGTAGAGCCATTGAAGCCAATGGCTCATCACACTGAAAAAAGGGTGGAACAAAGACAAAAGTACATCACCAAGTATACAAAAGTATATCGCAAACAACTGGAATGAGATGCAGCTAAGGGGATCATTCCTGAGCATGGGTGCCCAAAGAGCTCTCCTGCTCTTTGTGGTATAGAAATTCTCCATAGGTCATCCTTTCCCTTTTTTCACTGTTAATGGCTTTCAAACCAGGACTGGGATTCTCTAAACCTGTCTGCTCTGCTCATGAAAACAAGCTTCACCTTACCCTCATCACATGGAAGCTGCATCTTCAAATGAGCTTTTGCTTCTTGCTACTCTGTTTGCTGTCTGCTCTGGGAAGTTCCACCTCCTACCGTGAGAAATCATCCTCTTGATTTCCTCCAGGACAGTATTAAAAGCCAATTGATAATCTTTCCTTATAACTTCCATTGGCCTTTAGATAGCTTTGTCCATCTTTCCCCACTGAAGCTTCCCTGGTAGATTGGCAGAGCAAGTACACCTTGGGTTTGCATTACTTTTGCTGGACTAGCCAAACTGAGCTGTCCTGATCTCCTTTTGTAGGACTCTCCTACCTGCCTGCACCAAATGTCTCTTGGCTCTTTGAATAGGACAGGTGGCTTACTGCAGCTACAACAGCACCTGAACAGTAGCTCAAACAGTTCTTTCTCTCCAGGAAATACTTTATCCAGGACATCCAAATGCTGCAGCTGCTTTTGACCAGCCAGCTTTGCACAGCCAACTTTGAGCTCTATGCCTTTTTAACTCCCTAATCATGTGTGGCTGGGCAAGGTGAGGGTAAATGGCTCTGGTGGTTAGGGTGGGGAAGTAAAGGCTCATGGACCTTTGTCTCTGGCAAGGTTTGGAGTGAGAGACTTCACTTTACAATCCTATACCCTGAGCTTCAAAGAAGCTGGTAGCAATGTTCCTGTCCTCCTGCATGGGCAGAAGGCAGTGTCATGCCTTCCCTAGACTGTCAATGTATTCCCTGCTTGCTGTCATAGCTACATCACCAGCACCCTTACAACATCTGAGCTCACCTGGAAGGAGGGTCTTGTGCTTGAGGTGCAAGGCTGCAGCACAGGAGGTGGCTGAGTCATGGAGCTGTCACTGCGGGGCCTCCCGGTCACCACAGGCACGTGCCTTCCCTTTACATCATGCCTACCAAGAGACCTGGTTATTTTATAACTACATGGTGGAGCAGATGACGAGATTTCATCTCTTCCTGATGGAAAACTATGCGGCCCCATCAGGGCTAAAATGTCCTTTAAGGAGGGATTGCAGATCTGGGCACAGTGAACCCCCAGGAGTGCGCTGTCCCCTTAGGACACAGTGCACCCTCGTGGGTGTGATGTCCCCTCAGTCACAGTGACCCCTCTGGTGGCATGTCCCCTCAGGCACAGTGACCCCTCAGTGGTGGCATGTCCCCTCAGAACACGATGACCCCCTCAGGGCGTTCCCGCTCCCTCACGAAAGGCACAGCGCCCCCTAGCGGACGGGTGCGGCGCGGCCGCACGTGCGAGCCTCTGGCGGGCGGTCCGCGCATGCGCGGGGCGGGGCGGCAGCTGAACGCGAGTGGGCGTGTCGGAGCGCGGCGCGCGCGGCCCTCCCTCCCTCCCCCCCGCCCCGCCGGCCGCCACCGCCCCCGCCCCGCCCCCGCCCAGAAGATGGCGAGCCCGTGCGGGCGGCAGCAGTGCTCCATCCAGAGGCGCGGCGTCCGCCACCAGCTCGATTCGTGGCGACACAAGCTCATTCACTGTGTAGGTGAGGGACGGCGGCGCGGCGGGGAGGCCGGGCCGGGCCCCGCGGCGGCGGGAGGCTTCGCTGGAGCGGGGGCCGTGAGGCGAGCGGCGCCGCGGCCTGCGGGCCCGCCCCGCTCCCCCTCCCCGCCGGCCGCCGTGAGGCGCCGCGCCGGGCCGGGCCCCGCCCTGCGCCGAAGGGGGGGAGCCGGGAGGGGGGTCCTGCCCTGCCCTTTTGTGCGGCCCCTGTCAGCGCCGCGCCCGCTCCTCCCCGCTCGGCACGGCCCGGCCCGGCCGCGGCCCCTTCAAACTTGTTTACGGCGGGGCCGCGCCCGGCGGCGGGGAGCGGCCCACCTGTCACTGCCCGGGGCGAGCCCGGGCCGGCCCGCCTGCCCCCGGCCCGGCGAGGCGGGAGGGAGCGAGGCCGCGGAGCCGGCGGGAGGAGCGGTGGGGGAGGCGGAAAGTTGCGGATCGCGGTGCCGGATCGACGCCGTGAATCCGGAGCGGGGCCGCGGGGTTAAAAGGATGTGTGATTGCTTTTCTGTTTTCCCCCCACCTCCTTTTTCCCACCCCCCTCCCCCCCTCCTTTGCGCGTTTCTTGTTGGGTAGGCTCCTTGCAATCGAATGTTTGGGGTTTCATCTCGAGTAACTTTTTCCATTCAAAATACATATTTTTGTCTTTTCTCTTTCCCTAGTAATAAATTGAGATATTTTCTATGGGTCCCAACATTCACATAATGTCAGCTCTAGGCCAGTATGTGTCTCCAAAAGGAAAATGTTTGAGAACTGTAGACTGTGAACTTGCAGAGTAATCTTAAAAATCCCTGTCTAGAACAGATATGTTTCATCTTGATTGGCTCTCTCTTTCTAATTGAACACAAATCCTCGTTTTATTTTTAAATATGCAAATATGGCCGTAATCTGCCAGTGACTGCTCAGCATAGGTAATCTGTAATAACAGTCACAGATTCACTTTAGTTCCTTGTGTGCAGAGTTAAACCTCTTATTGTCAGTTAGCTCAGCGTCCCATTTCATTATCAGGGATTTGAAACACCATTTTTGGTTACACCAGGATGTGTAACTGCTGTGTGTATTTTTGGTTTCATCTAAATGTTTAAATTTCTGTAATATAAAAGTGTGTTCTAGATGCTTGTTAACTTCAGATTAATTCAAGCAATTAATTTGTTTTATGCATAACGCAACTGGAGGGCAATATGTTACTGAGAAGCTCACACTACATAAAAGTGTTGGGTTTTCTTTCCAACGAATAATTGATATTTCTAGATTCAGTTTGTGGGATTTTTTTTTTTTAATTCTATCTCTGCTACATTTTATTCCACCTCTGCTTGAACCAGATTTATTTTACTTCTATCTCCTTTTCTCAATTCCTCTTATCTCAAGCTCCTGGGGTTCAGCTGTTCTAGTCCTTTCTAAACTCCCTATTTGCAGCGTGTCGTCTTCCCCTCAGTGCCCTCTGCTCTAGCATTGGGTCCTTGAATCTTCCAGTGGAGCTGTCCTACTGCTCAGGGTTTAACTAGATAGCTGTGAGGAGTAAATTTGGAGGGAAGAAAAAAGAAAAAAAAACACACAAAAAAACCCCAAAACACCAAAACAAAAAAAGACAGTTTCAAAGCTGCTGTTGAAGATACCGTTTTGGGGTGAAATGCAAGAATTGTCTCTATTCATTTTGCTGCTCTTTGGGAAAATCCTGGGTAGCTAGAGAAGTTTATGTCTACAGACTCAAGGAAAACACTACGTTACTGAAGTTCTTAGCAACCCTAAGTGCTAAAACTTAAAACACCCCTCCTCCACCCCCATTAATACACACCCTGTTCCATTTACCTAAAGCTATTTAAATTGCCAGCTTCTGGTAAAGTTGCTTCCTCCCCTTGTTCCTTACATACCTCTTCCTCATACCTAAATTTGATACATTTTCTTCCTCCAGAAGATTTCCCTCTCTGAAAGTTCCTCTGTGTGTGTTTAACAAAGGATACAGAGAACACTTTTAAGCACAGAATTGACTGGGTTTTTTTTGGAGGTAAAGTACAAAATCATTTTAAAAAAATGAAGTCCAAAGTGTAACATTGCTCTGTGACTTTTATCTTGATGGCACTATGTCATAAATAGTTTCAGCTTGAAATTGATCAGCTTTATGAGGTTTCAGGACCTGCCTCGTTCCTAGTATGAATCTTTCATAAATTGCTGGGTCATGTAAATGTGTTGATTGTTACCTTTTTGTTTTCATATTTTTATGAAATTATAAAAGGTGTATTGCACTTTCCCAGGATCTCCAGCTGAAATTAGGTTGTGATATTAACCCTTTGCTCTAAATATACCTCTGTCATCTTTTTAAATGAATTTTGACAATATTCCGTGGGATTTGGAAGTAGACTCTTAAATGATGTAATGTTCTGTTTCACCTTGGCTGTTTGTAGAAATCTTTGAGAGTTTTTTCCTATAATAAACACTCTGCTTTCTAATATTTATGTATCAGTATGGGAAAATCTTTCTTGTAATAATCAGAAATACTCATTCATATTTAGTTCTGAAAGTAAATGAGGTGTGTGGGATTTTCTGTGTTAACATAATTCCCTGAAAAGTCATTCTAGTACCACACCATGTGGCACTCAGAAAAAATGTACCTGTGGTTTGAACTAGTGCATTTGGCAATAAAAATGGCTTAAGTAATTCACTTTCCCCTCTTGTTTTTTGCTTCTGCAGTTGGCTGCTCGTTTGGACTGTGGGTTCATGGCAATTTGTCAAACTAAGCTTGTGCTCTTAAGGGAGCAAAACCACAGAGGGGCTGACAGACTACCTGCCCACAAGGAGCTGGTTCAGGGGAGCTGTCCTAGCAGAAGACGTCTTTTGGAAGGAGTAGAATAATTTTCTGCTTGTATAGCTCCCTGAACCGGCTGGCAGGTCAAATAAATACCAGCACTAGCACGAGGGAAGAGTGTGAGAATGCAAAGCTGGTGGAAAGGAAAAGAGTGAGAACAAGGCAGCAGAGATGCAGATAAGCTTGAAGTGTCAGAGTTGCACCTTTGGTTGTCCCACTGTGGCTTTTTGTGGGAGTTAGCTCAGGGAACTGATCTGGTTGATGCATTCCTTCATTGTCATGAATTTCATCCCCTTTTTGTGAGGAGGGAGGTCGTGAGACTGGTGGAGCATAGGTCTGTGAGCAATTCTGTTGATCAGTAATGAAATTAAGGGAGCAGCATGCCATGGCCTGGAGGTGGAAGGAAGTGTGGAGAAGGGGTGTCTAAGCTCTCTTAGCAGTGAGTTGTAATAGGACTGTGGAACCACAGAGCAGGGGTAGCTGGGACTGGTGCCTGTATCTTGATGCTCTGGTAGGACTTTGTAGAGACACAGTCTGCCAGATGATAACTATTTGATGCTAACATATGTGTTCTCTATATCAGTCTTGAGTGTTAACATCTTTTTCAGTGGTCAAAAGCAGATACTTAGACACAAAGGCATGTGGTGATTTTAATTTTTTTTTCCTTTTCCCAGCCTCTAATCATCTTGTGTTCAGACAGTTGATGAATTTGAAATGGTTGGTGAGATTGGATCTGCTAAGGAATGGGGAGTTTGAGGAAGGAGATAACCCACAGATCCCTGAATCCCTTCTGACACCTTTTATACAGGCAGTTAATAGCATGGCAATGCTGCGTGATCATTGGAGTAGTGTGAGGTGATCGTATGCATTTCTTCTAACTGGTGATGCTTGGCCCTTTGTTAAATATTAGCTGTACTCTTGGAGACTCTCTGACTGAATTATGGTCTGTGTTGGGTGTGTGGGGGCAGGGAGGGAATGGTTCACTACTCTTCAGCAGTAATTCTAGTTTTGGGAGCAAAATGAGGATTTCAAGGGAAAATCTGTAACATTCTCATAAGATTTCCAATCATCTTGAACTCTGCCAGTGTTTCATTGAAATGCTGCTTAGCTGTTCTGCTGTCAAAATAAGCTGAAGTAATTTCCTTTTTTTTTTTTTTAAGTTATTGTTGCTGATTAAATACTGCAACCTAAGTACCTGATCTCTTTCTGTTTAGTTTGTTGTATGGTGGTGGTCTTCTGTGACCTTGGATACTTAGGATTAAAGTGTGGATTCTGAGGAAGAAATATGATACATCAGGAAGTGTTAGAATATAATAATAATCAAGAGAAGGTGTATAGCAGTTGAATAATTCTGAAATCTTTATTACTTTTCTTATCTTGATTATGGCTCCTGTATAGCTCCAGCCTGTGTATGATATGAATTAGCTGCTGCTTCCAGACAGTTAGCTGTGTTATCTTGTTTTGGAAGTAGGCTCGAGTCTTCAAGTGTTTAATGTAGTTCTAGTTCAAAGGTCAGATTGTATTTCTTTGTTCCAAAATAAGAAAGCTTATTATAGCTGTGATGTTGATGAAAAATAATAATAATAGTAAGCAAGTTAAAGTTTAAATGTAGGGCTGTTCTATACTGGTATTTGATTTAGATACACCCCCAGCCTTGTCCCCAGCAAACATGTGAGTGGTACTGTTTGCCTTATCTCAACCTGCTTGCAACGTAGCTGCAGCTTGTGGCTTCTTTTATCAATATAAATCCATTTTACAGCAATTTTGCAATATAGTAGCTGAAGGCTCATTCAAAAAGATCTGTTCTATGTTCCAACATTTCTGCTTGTTGTTCCCTCTATGACTAGAGGGAAGGAGAATTACCCTTCTATTACAAAGTTATGCCAGGAAAAGATTGAGGCAACTATCATTTAAAAATAAAAATCCTTAGTTGGAAGAAGTAAAATTTACAGTTTGATTTTTAGCTTTACTTTAAATGTGCATGGAAGGATGGTATGTGTTGGAAGAACAGTAGAAGTTAAACTGCGGGGGTATTAATCTAGAATCTAGATCTGTTCCAAATACCTCTTTGAATTCACTACAAATCACTCTGGATTTGCCCTTGTTTCCCTGCTTGCACAGGAAGAATTTCTAGCCTTTGAGGAACGATGTCAACCACCCAAAGGCATATTCAAAAAAATTGATAATCA